CACTCAACTCACAATAAAAACTTAAAAAAAAAAAAGAACACATCATGGTAGCCCTGGTGTGGCACTGTGGGTTAATGCACTGGATTGCACGGGACTGCAAAGCTGGTTTGAACCGCAAGGTCAGCAGTTCGAGGTCACCAGCCGCTCCTTGGAAACCCTACACAGGGTCACTATGGGTCAGAACTGACTCAACAACACCAATAATCAGAAACTAAACAGCTGAAACTGTCCTTGCTCTCAGACAGTCTGCCTGTCTCTGGGCCTGGCTGAGTTCCTTATAGAAGACCCTGGAGATGGCAGGAGAGTTGGGCTATGTACAGGTTTGTCATAGCCCGAGGATGGCCTGGTCAGGCAGCAGCAGCACCTGACCCCCACAGGACCCACAGGACCCCCAGGCAGCCAGTCAGACACGACCCCTCTGAGCCAATGGCTCTCACTCCCACCCTACGGCACCTCCACTGGCGGGAGATTCAAACAGTGGAGGTTCAAACTCATCCACTGTGGCATGTTCAGCCAGCGGTGCACAAAGAGGCACACCTCATGGGCTAGGGCCAGCTGCCCTGGCAAGTGTTGATTCTGGGAAGAAAAAGCGATTTCCTCCTGCATTGGAGAAAACAATTCAAGAACAGGGAAGGAATCCTGCCAGGAGAAACGCTGCTTTAAAACTTGAGGGTAGACTGGCGAGGATCTGCTGCTGGGAACCAAACATGCACAGCAACATTAAATCCACTGCACAGGAACAAAACACAAACAACAAGAAACTGAAGTCATCAATATGCAAAAAATATTGGCACAGCACACTTAGAAAAATAATGCGTGAGGGGTCACATGGTATCTAATAAAAATGTATGGTGGTGGTTATGTGCCATGGACTCGGTTCCAACTCATAGCGACCCTGTACAGGGTTTCCGAGGCTGTAAATCTTTACGGGAGCAGAAAGCCTCATCTTTCTCCCACGGAACAGCTGGTAGTATCGAACTGCTGACCTTGCAGTTCACAGCCCGATTTGTAAAAATGTATAGTGAATATATAAATTTGCATTAAAAAATACAGCAAACATCTGGGATATGTTTTTCCAGAGAAAACTTGGTTAACTGAAATTCATTCTAATTCAATCACAGGAAGTCCTTCTTGTTCACTTGTTCAAAGGTCAAACAACCCACATTTTTCTATATTATTCAAGACATATCTAAGCTGTCTTCCCCAGACTGATGTGATATTTTTGTATATCACCTAGTAACATCTACAACTATGGGCGTGTGGTGCTGCCTGCTGGCCAAAGTACTGTATCAAGAGCATCTCTGCCTACATCTGTAAAACAAGGTGTGTCTATGCAGTCATCTGAAATTTTATTTTAGTATTTTATCTTGATGCATTTGTTAAAAT